TTTCCGGCCATCTAGAGATGCCCTAATCATAAATTTTCTTACCTCAGCCCCAATCATGGTGGGGCTGAGGTGGGTGGTTCCTCGGTCTGTGAAAGTCCCTCCCTGGTTCACCTCTCTTTCGAATTCCTTGATCTGGATTATTTATAATGCGTCTATTGCAATTTTCACTGTATCCTCTCAAACAGTCCTAAGAACGTTCAGAGTGCGCTACTTCACATGGGGATTCGCCCCCTTGACCCCGCCGGGGTCATACGTAATTCGCATAACGGCTTCTCCCCCCCCCCCCTTTTCAAAATCCTGGCTACGTCCCTGTTTCAAATTACAGTATTATTGAACAAATCTTTATGAAAGCTAGCAAAATACAAAACTTAACCATACATTATCACATGTCTGTAATGTTAAAAGACCTGTGCTGGGATTTATGGATTTAAGACGAAGAATTTAAGCAAAGTTTTACGTTAAGTAAGTTTGATAAATCCAACCCCTAATAATGTAGTAAAAACAATCAAATATGATTTCGTGGAAGATGGGTTAAATTTTATGGTAGATTTTTTTTTACTTGTGAGAGCCCGCAACTTAAGAATTGGGACCACAGGCGTACTTTCTGCCGTTACACTAACCACAGCTACGGGGTACGGTATCAGGTCCGGTGTTTGAACATTATAGGTAGTGAGTTTTTCTCTGCAGGCACTCCAATAGACCTTTCCGGAGTGTCAATCAAACTTAACAACTGACTAATCGGAACAACGCTAGAAATACGCGCGCGTCTTACAAACACACGTGTTGTCCCACAAACGCACGTGTTCGCGTATGTTTTGACACTGCCGTTTTGTGGGACCTTAGCAACAAAATCCAAGGGGCGGAGCTTAGCGGAAAGGTCTATTCTGTTCACAACTTAATAACATTGGTACGCGGGCGTCTTCACTATGCCTGTAGCCATAGGAATTATCCATGGTAACGGCGTGTTTACAAACACACATAAGGAAAAAGCGTAGGATCACTATTAATCAGAAACTTGCTAACTTTATGTCGGTTTACATCATTTAGCATTATTAAAGCAATAGGTCTACACGATAAAAAAAAAATAAATAAATAGATATGGATCCAGGAGAGACAGGAAAGACTATGTCAAATTATGGGAAAAAAATACCCACACCTGAGGAAGTGAAACTAAGATGGATAGAAATTGTGCGGGTGAGTCGTTTTTCCTACTCGATCGTATCTATGGTTAAGTTGATATTGAAAGTACGCAAATCTGGGTTACTAAATACTAAGTCTTAATCTTATGTTGATATTTTCAGCGCGAGAAAAACATACGGAAGAATCATTTAGCAACAAAAGGCGATGGATCTGAACAATGGCCAGGCATCCAATCAGCGACAGAGCAACAGTTGAAAGAGAAAAATACATATTTCAACAACAACAAACAGGTAAATATCAGTTAAAAACGTACCGGTAGCTAACAACAAACTAGAAAATATAAATGAACACGTAAAGAGTAACAACAAGCAACAGCCAATTTTGAATAGACCTAGTATAATTGATTTTGGTAAATTACTGGGTACTTGCATATACTTACTACTTACGTCTTACTATTCACTAAGGTACCTAAACATATTTCTTAGTTTTACTTAATTATTGAGAGGTGATGAGCCAATAAACAAAGCTGATCATGTGCTTTGTCAGGAATTACATAAAACGACTACTCAAAAATGACACCATGGATTGGCATTTCAGGGGAAGATACATTGACATTTATATATTCTGCAGATATTATTATCGCTAAATCTGTCATCGATTTTATCATTAGAACAAACCTAGTTCGACCTACGACCGATTATTCCACGTTGAGGAAGGCTTCCATAGTAAGATACACCGGGACGACCGTCAGCACACCATGAACCTAAATGTGTATTCCGAGGTAAGGCGCATATCTACCAATATTACAAGAGAGATACAGGGAAAGTATGACGTCTCAGGGACACATGGCGTCTATATCTCAGATATGCCAACTTTTATGTTAAGATTTTAAGGTCTCTTTTAGAAAGGGAATCTACATTGTTTGCAACAAAAAGAGAAACAGGAACCAGTCTTGCCCACCATTACCCATCCCAAACACCCCCTCCTTCAAACCAAACCTGGGTCCGCTATCTATAAAATTTGGAAGAAACATATACATAAATATATATTTATTTTTTTTTGGAAATTCAAGGTTACGGCGGGATAAAGGAAAACTTTTTTTTTATAAAATTTCGGTGGGTGCGTTAATAGGACAAAAATATAACGTTATTTTTATTCGAAATCACCATTATTGGCGCGCGGCGGGTTCGCTAAGCAAGGTATAAAAACAGTCTCGCCTACAACATAACAAGATTAATATTAAATATAGTTATCACTGCGTGCGACGGCGACGCGACGACGAACGCACGCGACGGCGGGGAACCAACGGATCGCTTATGAGGATCCGTTCAGACTTTCACTGACAATCAGCAGACGGCGTTACGTCGTCTATCGCTAGCCGGAAGCAGAGGTGGATTTGACGTGCGACGGTCGTACGACGCAGTGATTGCCCGGCTTAAAGTTTTTAGCAGAAAATTATCTTCAACAAAATTGAAAATTCATATAAACGCTAATTAGCTTCGTATACAATAATTTTTATATTATTTTTCCCATTTGAAGGAATCTTCAAAACAGATACCCGTACTGTCATCGTCAGCGTACGGACACGGAAAACCACTCGAAGTACCTTCCCGTCAACACGCGCGCATCGAGCGCGTAGTTAAAGGTTTTTATCGCACACGAGGTACAAATCTACCGGAATATGGCTCAGACCAGTGACGAGGATCGCTTATTATTTCAATAATGAGGATAATCTAGTGACGAATGTAATACGTACTTTTGAGATTTGTTATATTATTTATATTTTTATTGATCTGTTATCAAAAAAATAAATATTATTGCATATACAGTATGTAAATTAGGACTAAGTATTTATTTATTATCGCACACGAGGTAAAAAATCTACCGGAATAAGGCTCCCAGTGACGAGCATCGCTTATCATTTCAGTAAAGAGGATAACCTATTGACGAATGTAATACGTATTTTTGAGTTTTGTTATATTATATTCAAGCTAATAATCTTTATGATCCTTTCAAATGAGCTACTCAACATTTTATTTGAATTTTTTAGGTATTTTCCTGTATTTTAATTTGACTGATAGTACATTAAAGTACATTCTTAGTATTTCAGTTGAAAACTTTTAATTAAGCATAAATAATATTATCGTAATTGGCTGGTAGAGTGTAAATCAGCGATAATTTAATTGAAGTTGAATGTCTAATTGTAATTTACTGACTTAACACAGTGTTTTAATTGAATGTAGTTTCTCCTATTCAGATTTACCTGAGAGAGTAAATGTCTATACAATGACTTAAAATGGATTTGGCATTATCCGCGGTAGAGACAGTCCTCCTTCTCTGCTCCGAAATGTGTTCTTCAGTGTATAATACACATTATGTTCATTAAAGTATGGAGAATATAAATGAAGGGCTGATGGGGGCGGGGAGGTCTGATTGTGTGGCTCGATGACTAAGTGAGTTGGTGTTAGCTAGCTGGCAAAAATATGGTATTATGAGGTAAATTGAGCGTCATTTTTTTTTTTGTTTAAAAAATTTCCAGTTGGTGCGTCTGCGTGGTGCCAGCTTAGTGGGGTGGGGAGGGGGGGGGGGGGTGGTGTCCTACAATCCTCCTGCTCACCCCAGTAGATAGGGCCTACCCCATTGGTAATAGGCTAGGCAATTTATTAAGGTAATTAGTCACTTGGCAGTATAACCGAAAATACTGTGAGAACTGCCATCCTAAGCCACCATCACTAAAACATGGTTCTGACACGGGTAGGCTCGTTGTAAATTTATTTGAAACCTGCCCATCACAAAGGCGGGCGCGAGTGTAAGAGAGCACCCGGGTGGCCGAGTGGTTAAGGCGTTGGATTTAAGTTCCAATGGATGTAAGTCCGCATGGGTTCGAACCCCATCCCTGGTATAATTCTTTTACCTTAATTTTATGTTTAGTTTGACATGCGTAACTATATGCTAATTTTAGACAAGAAATATATAGCGCCTACAGTTCACCCTCCAATTCGAGACAACCTTTGGGACCCGAAAATCATTGGGGTGGTCTCGGGGTTATTCTCCAATTAGAGGGCTATCTTTGTGTTTAAAAGTTTGAAGATTACTGGGTCTTCGGAAAAGTGGTTTCAAATTACAGTATTATTGAACAAATC